TAAGTTTTGTTTCACGTTTCAAATACATGGCATTGTGTATGTAATTATTGTGTTTCTAAAATTTCCCATATATTGTGAAATTTGAGAAACATTATATCAAAATACTGTTAGAAAAGTAACTTCTCTTTTAATCTGGATGCTGTTAGATTATGAATTGATCTGTTAAAAGAAATAAAAATGTTTAAAAAACTGTTAAATATATATAATGGAGTTTATTTTGCTTTAAACTGAATAACAACAATAATAACTAACTGTTAGGAGAAAAGAGTAGCAAAGTACTCTTCAAGTTATCTTTATCAGTGAAGTTCCTTGGAACTTTCTTTTTTTTTTTAAACAAGCATTTATTATATACTTTCTTTTTTTAAAATATAAATTTATTTATTTTTAGTTTTCAACATTCACTTCCACAAGTTTTTGAGTTCCAAATTTCTCACCCCTCCCCCCACTCCAAGATGCATGCATTCTGAATACCCCTTCCCCTAGTCTGCCTTCTCTTCTATCTCTCCCCCCTTCTCTTATCCCCTTCCCCTTCTATTTTCCTGTAGAGCAGGATAGACTTCTGTACCCCATTTCCTGTATTTCTTATTTCCCAGTTGCATGTGAAAACATTTTTTAAAAAAACATATGTTTTTAAAACTTTGAGTTCCAAATTTTCTCCCTTCCTCCCTCCCCACCCACCTTCATTGAAAAAGCAAGTAACTCAATATAGGTTATACCTGTGCAGTTATGCAAAACACTTCCATAGTAGACATGTTGTGAAAAACTAACTCTATTTCCCTTAATCCTATCCTGCCCTCCCATTTATTCTATTCTTTCTTTTGACCCTGTCCTTCCTCAGAAGTATTTGCTTCTGATTACCCTCTTTCCCAATCTGCCCTCCTCTCTATCATCCCCCTGCTCTCTTGTCCCCTTCTCCCCCTATTTTCCTGTAGGGTAAGACAGATTTCCATACCCAATTGAATGTGTATGTTATTCTCTCCTTAAGCCAAATCCTATGAGAATAAGATTCCCTCATTCCCTCTCACCTTCCCCTGTTTCCCCTCCACTGTGAGAGACTTTTCTGTTTTTTTGTGAGATAATTTACCCCATTCTACCTCTCCCTTTCTTCTCCGAGTATCATCCTCTCTCATCCCTTAATTTTATTCTCCAGATATGACCCCTTAATCTTCAACTCACCCTGTGCCCTCTATCTATCTATCTATCTATCTATCTATACACATATATAATTTTTTTCCTTCAACTACCCTAATACTGACAAAGTTCTCATGAGTTACAAATATCATCTTTCCATGCAGGAATGTAAACAGTTCAATCTTAATAAGTCTCTTATGATTTCTCTTTCCTGTTTACCTCTTCATGTTCCACTTGAGTCCTGTATTTGAAAGTCAAATTTTCTGTTTAGCTCTGGTCTTTTCATCAGGAATGCTTGAAAGTCCTCTATTTCACTGAATGACCATTTTTTCCCCTGAAGGATTATACTCAGTTTTGCTGGGTAGGTGATTCTTGGTTGTAATCCTATCTCCTTTGCCCTCCAGAATATTATATTCCATGCCCTGCGGTCCTTTAATGTAGAAGCTGCTAAATCTTGTGTTATCCTGATTGTGTTTCCACAGTACTTGAATTGTTTCCTTCTGGCAGCTTGTAATATTTTCTCCTTGACCTGGGAACTCTGGAATTTGGCTATAATATTCCTAGGAGTTTTCCTTTGGGGATCTCTTTCAGGAGGAGATCTGTGGATTCTTTCAATTTCTATTTTGCCCTCTGGTTCTAATATATCAGGGCAGTTTTCCTTGATAATTTCTTGAAAGATGATGTCTAGGCTCTTTTTTTGATCATGGCTTTCAGATAGTCCAATAATTTTTAAATTCTCTCTCCTGGATCTATTTTCCAGGTCAGTTGTTTTTCCAATGAGATATTTCACATTGTTTTCTAATTTTTCATTCTTTTGGATTTGTTTACAGTGTCTTGATTTCTCATAAAGTCACTAGCTTCCAATTGCTCTATTCTAATTTTTAAGGAAGTATTTTCTTCAGTAATCTTTTGGACTTCCTTTTCCATTTGGCCAATTTTCTTTTTAGGGCATTTTTCTCCTCATTGGCTTTTTGGACCTCTTTTGCCATTTGGGTTAGGCTATTTTTTAAGGTGTTATTTTCTTCAGTATTTTTTTGGGTCTCCTTTAGCAAGCTGTTGACTTGTTTTTCATGATTTTCTTGCATCACTCTCATTTTCTTCCCAGTTTTTCCTCTACTTCCCTTACTTGCTTCTCAAAATCCCTTTTGAGCTCTTCCAAGGCCTGGGACTGATTCATATTTTTCTTGGAGGCTTTGGATGTAGGAGCTTTGACTTTGTTGTCTTCTTCTGGTTGTATATTTTGATCTTCTTTTTCACCAAAGTAAGATAATATAGTCTGACTCTTTTTGTACTGCTTTCTCATGATCCCAGCCAATTACTTGAGTTTTAAACTCTTTGTTAAGGTAAGAGTCTGCTTCCAATGTGGAGAATGTACTGTCCCAAGCTTCAGGGGTTTTGTAGCTGTTTTCAGAGATACTTGTAGGGACCTGTAAATTTTCAGTTCTTCCAAGGTGGTATGATAAGGGGTGAGGTGTTTACTCCTTTCCTGGCCTGTGACCACAAGTATTCCTTTCTGTCCTGTAACTGTGAGGAGGGGTTCCTCTCCACAGCCACTACAAGCTCCACCATGCCAGCGCTCCTCCTCACCCCAGCACTGCCGCTCAGAACTGTGACCCAGATCCACACACGGGCAAAGCAAGAGATTCCTGCCTCAGCACTGGCAAAGAGATCCCTGCAGTCCCTCTCTGATCAACCACTGAACTCCCCCTCAGTCTGTGGGCCGGAAGCTCGGGAAGCAGCTGCCCTCCCCCAGGGCCATGCTCTTAGGGAATGGAGCTGAGACCCCACCTTCCTCTCTGAGCACCAACAGAAACAGACTTTTCCCACTGACCTTCTAAGTTGTCTTTGGCATTCTTGGATTGAGAAGTCTGGAAACCTCCACAGCTGCCCGCGATTCAGTCCTCTGAGGCCTGCTCCAGGTTTGCTGCAGCCTGCGCGCCCACGCTGCGCTCCCAGCCTGGTGCAACACACCTTTCTGATCAATCATCCTCCTTGTCTTGGGCTGGAAATTTGTTTCACTCTGTCTTTTTGTGGGTTCTGCTGCTTCAGAATTTGTTTAGAGCCATTTTTTATGAGTATTTGGAGGGGTTTGGGGGAGAGCTCAAAACAAGTCACTACTTTCACTCCGCCATCTTGGCTCTGCCCCTCTCCTTGGAACTCTCTACTTATGATCTAGGATCATAAGACCTTATTATCCCTGCTGACCAAGTGATGTAATATTCTGAGGTACTAAAGTTTTGAGAAACTTGGACCACTCCCAGTCAAAGTGCAGAGGCTTACAAGTTGCTTATGGCAAAAAGTGAGTTTCATCTGAGATTATTTGACCATAACTTATGAAAATTATGAACTTACATCTATTAGTAAAAAATATATATTGAAGTTTCATCTTTGAGCCAACTTAGTAACAATAGACCTTACATTCAAAGATTTCAGTCTTACCTTGGGGGTAAATAGGCAATACAGATTGGAGGCTTATTATAGGCAGTATTTTTCTAGGGGTTTTAAGTCAACTACCATTGATTTATTGTATATGTGGAACTCCAGAATGTGATTATTCTTAATTTGTAAATGAAGGATAAATGAAATGTCCTTATATTCACTTATTGTTAACTGTTATTGCACATGTGAGAAAAATAATAATAACCTAGTCCTAGTGGTGGTTAATGAAATTTTGCTATTTGAAATAAAATCTCTTGGGACTCTAGTGTGATGTTATTCTGAGGTTTTTATTTCAGGTAGGGTTGCCTGAATTGTCATAAAGCCAATAGTCCACTATTCAAGGGGAATACCTTGTGTTGCTGAAAAGGGAGTGCAGTCTGAGAACTGCTATAGGTGAGTGTCTGTGTCTGGTGAAGTTGAGGGGACAGCTCTGTATAGTGAAGTAAGAGCCTCTTGACTCAGTTTCCCCATTGTGCTATTTCCTTTCTGAACATGAAATTTTCCCACCTGGTTAATTTTGAGACTGGCTTTCGATACCTTGTGAATAATGTGAAATTTTGCTACATGATTGGCAGCAAACATGAGTCATGCCTAAAATCAAACAGAGCTAAAGGAGGTTTTCCCCTATGAAGGCTTAATGTCAGGTTAGTCTGTACCCTTAAGGGCACAAGCTTGATCTCATCATAACCACATCCCTCCTTTTTCTTTCATAGCAAATTTCTATAATCAGGGTAGGTGAACATCTCTGAGTTGCTATAATAGGATGCAAGTACAAGAGATCTTACTGCTTTCAATCTGAACTTTTAGTCAATACCATATCCTAAGCAACCAAGTAAATGACTTCTTGGGCTTGTCATCCACTTGTTAATAGTTATATATGCATATATAAGTATCCTTGAAGTGTCTCATTCTTTCAGGGTGATATGGGAACAATATCCTCAAAATGGGGGAACAAGACAAAGACATACGTTTTCTAATTAAATGGAGTAAATTTTGAGAGAGCAACAGGATCAGACTGTTTTCTCTAAGAACTAGGATATCTATATATCTGTATCTACACACACACATGCACACACACACACACACAGAGTTTCCAAATGCTTCTAATGGGATATACAGACCTTGAGTATATTTAAGTAACAAGTTCTAAAAATTAGATTAGGGATTTTACATATAAAATTGCACTGATAATTGTAAAGAAAGTGAAATTATTTTCCCTATTTGAAGTCTCTGTCTCCAGCTACAGCAACAAGGAAACCTGTTTGGACCTGCTCCAATCGTGGGGTCAGTTGGGGCAAAGTCAGGTAGCCCCTTCTGATGTCTGCATTCAACACTCTTTTTTTAAAATGGGTTTTCATCTTCTTGTCCACCTTTAACTGGTTTTGGTTGCTCTCAGATAATTTGCTTCTCTGGAGTCAAGCAAAATCAGCTGCATTCAACAAAGGAAAATTTATTATCTCCCATAATTGGGGAGGGGGGGCAGCACAAGTAAAAGTCTATACAAACAACCAAAAAGTAAGGAGAGCAGGTGTCATTTGTACCTCACTTTGAACTTACACAGAATGAAATGAGCAGAACTAGTAAAATAAATTTTACTATGAAAACACTATTGTAAAAGTGAACAGTTTTGAAAGACTTAATAAATGACAAATATCAAACACAATTCTAGAGGAACAGTGATTTAGAATGCTACCTACCTCCTGACAAAAATAATGGGCTAGATATGTGGAGTGAGACATTCATTTGGGGGCATGGCCAATGTGCAAATATATTTTGCTTGGCTATGTGTATTTATTGTAGGTTTGTTTTTTGTTTTTGTTTTGTTTTTTTCCAGTGGAGGTGGAAGAGAGAAGGAATGATGGCAGATTAATTGGAAAAAAGAAAAATTAGTTTAAAAAAGAAAATACATGAAGGCAGGAGACGTAGTATTTTGTTCAAGGAAAAGCAAGGAGATGAGTATCATTGGATCACAGAGTACATGGAGGACAGAGTTACAGTTTGAGTTCTACACATCAATGAAATTACAAGTCCCAACCCTAAATTAATTTTTTAAAATGGGGCAGTACCATCCCATAGATTTCCCAGAAATTCTTTTGGATGCATAATCAGTGGAATAGCGTACAAACTCACATCAAGGGGCAGGGCTGATTTCATAAATAGCTATTTGTCTGTAGGGTGTGATATGAGAATCCCCCTACCCCAAAGTCTCTCTGACAAGTTGGCACAGTGCCCGAAATTCTTCTATTAAGAATTACTTCCTTTCAGTCTTGAAGATCTATTTTTGTCTATTTGTATGTAAAAACAAAGATTGCAAAATGCCAGTGGGTATCAGGAATCTGCTCCATACCCACAGAAATCTTGAACAAATGAACTTTTTCTTTCTTTTCTTTTTTTTAAAAATAAACAGAGGATGTTCAATCAGCCAGTCAAGGTCTAGATAATGGTCAATTGGGAGCTGGTCTCAGATTCTCCTGCAAAGGAAATAAAAACCCTAAAGTCAGACAATCTCATTCCTCAAAAACTTTTAAAGGAGAAATTTAGGAATCTCACCCTGCCCCCTTCCCCACAGTGGCTCAGGATCAGCTCTGGAAAGTATACCTCTTAAAGGGTCCTTTGATAAGTTATGTTAATAGAGGGGAGCAGTGCTTCAGGTCATCCCAAAGAAAAGATCATGCAAAAGTATTTTAGATTTTGGCTGGATTATGCGCTGTCTGATTACTTTTTCAGCCTTTCATATGTGTTGGGTTTTGTTTTGCTTAGGTTTACCTTCAGATTAGTTCGCACTTCCTAACAACACATCAATTGGTGGTGGAAGATGATTAGGGAATTTATCGGATAGGAGGAAGCCAAACTGAAATTTAATTTTTTTTTTTTTAGGTAATTGGGGTTAAGTGACTTACCCAGGGTCACACGGCTAGTACATGTCAAGTGTTTGGTCTGAGGCTGGATTTGAACTCAGGTCCTCCTGACTTCTGTCCACTGTACCACCTAGATGCCCCTTGAAATTTAAATTTTGCTGCACATGATTCACAAATTAGATAACCCACATGTAGAAAGGAAATTAAGAATTCACTGTAAAGGTAGAAATAGGGAGCTGGCCTTGGAGAGCTGAGTTCAGACCCCTCTCCTGACACACACTTGCTCTATGACTCTGGGCAGGTCATGTAATCTCTCAATGCTCTAAGCAACTTCCCAGGACAATTATTTGCAGAGGTGATCACCTACATTGATAGTAGGCATTTCCTCACCCAGTAATTCTCTATACCAATGAAATTGGGTGTTATAGATAAATATAGATATAGATATACACACCTATATATACACACATACACATATATACATATATGAATAAATATACGTAGGTATATATGCATGTGTACATGGACATATATCTATGTATATGCATGTGTGTGTGTATGTATGTATGTATGTATGAATGTATGTATTTATAGATAGGGATCCCACTCAAACCAGCTCAAGAGAACTGACTATTAAATTTTCAGTGTGAGCATTTACTTCTTGGAATCAGCAAACATTATAAATCAGGGCTTAATTTATTGTTTTACTGATTTCTAGACTTAAGAAAATAATAGAGAAAATGTTAGTAGTACAAATTAAACCTAAAAGTATACTGAATGCACTTTTTTTTTTCAAAAAGCTGGTTCATTAAATATTTGCTAGCATACCACTGGTTATAAACATCAACATTTGAAGCCAACCATATAGAGGCTGAGCTGCTAGCAGTAGGCCTGTCTAATCCTACAACTAGGAAATTAGCGACAAGGTAGAGGACAGAATTGTAAACTTCTGGCCGTCAGTACAAACAGAAGACAAAAGCTTCCAGAGTTAGAGAGAGCACTTACCCAACCACCTTGCCCTTCAATATACTGTCGAACAGCTATGTTCTCATTGATCATATCCCTCATGGGTCCAGCTAACTGCCTGGCCCTCTGAGGTATTTTGTGGGAGACAACCTCCAGTAGCTTCACAGACACAGCCAGAAAGGCCCTCTCATAGGCTAGGCTAGGCTCTTGGGCACACCACGTCTGGCTGAGTGATTTCACTGTGTCTCGTAATACAGCAGCTACCTGGAGAAAAACAGTCAATAAATCAGTAAGTATGTATCAGGTATCTCCTGATGTGTCCCTGCTGGAACTAGGGATACAAAAACAGACATTAAATTACTGCCCTCAAGAAGTTTACAGCTGATAGGAAGATAGCACAGGGGTGTGTGTATATACATACGTACATACATACATAACATAAAGAAAATAAATACAAACTAATTAGGCAACAACAAGGCACTAGCAGCTGGGGTGATCAAGAAATGTTTCATGGGGCGGGGGGAGTAAAGGCAGTGACTTCCTTGAGCTCTCCCACAAACCCCTCCAAATGCCTGTAAAAATGACTCTAAATAAATTCTGGAGCAGCAGAATCCACAAAAAGACAAAGTGAAACCAGTTTCCAGCCCAAGACAGCCTGGATGGCTGATAGGAAAGGTGTGTTGTGCCAGGCTGGGAGAGGAGCGTAGTTCAGCGTCGGCCACACAGTTGAAAGACAGGGCCAGAGGAACAAGCCTCAGGGAAAACTGAATCAAGGGCAGCTGTGGTGGTTTCCAGACTTCTCAACCCACAAATACCAAAGACGACTTAGAAGGTCAGCGGGAAAAGTCTGTTGGATGTGGGTGAGGGAGGAGAGTGATCCAGCCTTGGCCTAGTGTATCTCAGGGCAGCAGCTGCTTCGGGAGCTCTCAGCCCAAGACGCTGGGGGTGTCAAGTGGCTGATCAGAGAAGGATTATAGGGATCTCTTTGCTGGCATTGAGGCAGGATTCTCTTGCTTTGCCCATGCTTGGATCTTGGTTGCAGTCCTGGGTGGCAGTCCTGGGGTAAGGAGTAGTGCTGGTGTGGTGGAGCTTGTGGTGGTGAAGAGAGAATCCTCCTCATAGTTCCAGGGCAGAAAAGAGTGCTTGTGGTCGTTCACATACCAGAGCACAGGCCAGGAAAGGAGTAAACACCTCTCCTTTGATCATACCACCTTGGAAGAATGAAAATTTACAGGATCCTAGAAGTATCTCTGAAAACAGCTGCACAAAACCCCTGAAGCTTGGGACAGTACACCCTCCACAGTGGAAGCAGACCCCTACCTAACAAAGAGTTAAAAAGTTAAGTGATTGGTTGGTAACAAGAGCAAACAGAGGCAAAAAAGTCAGACCACAGAATCCTACTTTGGTGACAAAGAAGATCAAAACACACAACCAGAAGACAACAAAGCCAAAGCTCCTACATCCAAAGCCTCCAAGAAAAATATGACTTGGTCCCAGGCCATGGAAGAGCTCAAAAAGGATTTTGAAAATCAAGTAAGAGAAGTAGAAGAGGGGCAGCTTAGTGGATAGAGTACCAGTCCTGGATTCAGGAATTCCTGAGTTCAAATCTGGCCTCAGCCGCTTACTAGCTGTGTGACCCTGGGCAAGTCACTTCACCCCATTGCCTCGCCAAAAAAAAAAAAAAAAAGGAAAAAGAGAAGTAGGGGGGAAATTGGGAAGAGAAATGAGAGTGATACAAGAAAATCATGAAAAATGAGTCAATGGCTTGCTAAAGGAGACCCAAAAAAATTATGAAGAAAATAACACTTTAAAAAATAGACTAACCCAAATGGCAAAAGAGGTCCAAAAAAACCAATGAAGAGAAGAATGCCTTAAAAAGCAGAATTTGGAGGTGGGGGCAGCTAGGTGGCACAGTGGATAGAGCACTGGCCCTGGAGTCAGGAGGACCTGGGTTCAAATCTGGCCTCAGACACTTGACACTAGCTTTGTGACTCTGGCCAAGTCACTTAACCCCAATTGCCTCACCAATTTAAAAAAAAAAAAGGCAGAATTGGCCAAATGGAAAAGGAAATCCAAAAAGGTCACTGAAGAAAATAATTCCTTTTCTTTCTTTCTTTCTTTTTTTTTTGTGAGGCATTTAGGGTTAAGTGACTTGCCCAGGGTCACACAGCTAGTGAGTATCATGTGTCTGAGACCGGATTTGAACTCAGGTCCTCCTGACTCTAGGGCTGGTGCTCTATCCACTGCACCATCTAGCTGCCCTGAAAATAATTCCTTAAAAATTAGAATGGCGCAAATGGAAACTAAAGACTTTGTGAAAAATCAAGAAATTATAAAACAAAACCTAAAGAATGAAAAAAATAGAAGACAATGTGAAATATCTCATTGGAAAAACAGCTGACCTGGAAAATAGATCCAGGAGAGAGAATTTAAAAATTACTGGACTGTCTGAAAGCCATGATCAAAAAAAGAGCCTAGACACCATCTTTCAAGAAATTATCAAGGAAAACTGCCCTGATATTCTAGAACCAGAGGGCAAAATAGAAATTGAAAGAATCCACAGATCTCCTCCTGAAAGAAATCCCCAAAGGAAAACTCCTAGGAATATTGTAGCCAAATTCCAGAGTTCCCAGGTCAAGGAGAAAATATTGCAAGCAGCCAGAAAGAAATAATTCAAGTATTATGGAATCACAATCAAGATTACACAAAATTTAGCAGCTTTTACATTAAAGGACCACAGGGCATGGAATATGATATTTTGGAGGTCAAAGGAGCTAGGATTAAAACCAAGAATCACCTACCCAGCAAAACTGAGTATAATCTTTTAGGGGGGAAAATGGATATTCAGTGAAATAGAGGACTTTCAAGCATTCTTGATGAAAAGATCAGAGCTGAATAGAAATTTTGACTTTCAAATGCAAGACTCAAGAGAACCATGAAAAGGTAAACAGGAAAGAGAAATAATAAGGGACTTATTAAAGTTGAACTGTTTACATTCCTACATGGAAAGATGATATTTGTAACTCATGAGACCTTTCTCAGTACTAGGATAGTTGGAGGGAATATATATATATAGATAGAGGGCACAAAGTGAGTTGAATATGAAGAGATAATATCTAAAAAATAAAATTAAGAGGTGAGAGAGGATTATACTTGGAGAAGAAGAAAGGGAGATGTAGAATAGGGTAAGTTAGCTCACATAAAAGAGGTAAGAAAAAGCTTTTACAGTGGAAGGGAAGAGGGAAGAGGTGAAAGGGAATGAGTGAATCTTACTCTCATTGGATTTGGCTTAAGGAAGGAATAACATACACACTCAATTGGGTATAGAAATCTATCTTACCCTACAAGAAAATAGGGGGAAGCAGATAAGAGGGTCAGAGATGATAGAAGGGAAGGCAGATTGGGGAGAGGGAGTAATCAGAAGTAATGAATATACTTTTGAGGAGGGACAGGGTCAAAGGAGAGAATAGAATAAATGGGGGGTGGGATATGATGGAGGGAAATATAGTTAGTCTTTCATAACATGACTATTATGCAAGTGTTTTGTATGACTACACATGTATAACCTATATCGAATTGCTTGCCTTCTCAATGATGGGGTGTGGGGAGGGAGGAAGAGAGAGCATTTGGAAGTCAAAGTTTTGAAAACAAATGTTTAAAATTGTTTTTACATGCAACTGGGAAATAAGATATATAGGCAATGGGGTATAGAAATCTATCCTGCCCTACAGGAAAATAGAAAGGGAAGGGAATAAGTGAAGGGAGTGGTGGTGATAGAAGCGAGGGCAGATTGGAGGAAGGGGTATTTAAGATGCACACCATCTTGGGGTGGGGGAGGGGAGAGATGGGGAGAAAATTTGGAACTCAAAATCTTATGGAAGTGAATGCTGAAAACAAAAAAAATAATTAAAAAAAGAAAGAAATGTTTCATGTGAGAACTGAGGTTTGCATGAAACTAGGCATCCAAAAAATGGAGGTAACAAAGGAGAACACTGAGGCACAGGAGACAGTGCGAAGTATAGAGATAGGAGGTGGAGCATTGTGAAGAATCACACAAGAAGACCACTTTGGCTAGACTGGTAGATGCAAGAAGGGGAATATATGGTAAGGATGGAAGGGCGGTTTGGGGAGCTAAAAAAGTCTATTCAGCAAGGGAGTAATATTGGAGGATCTGTGCTTTAGGAAAATCATTTTGGCAGCTGTGTGAAAGGCAAATTAGAGTGGGGCAAAAACTTGAAGGCAAGGAGACCAGTTAGGAGGTTATTGCAATAGTCTAGGAGAGAGATGATAGGAGCTTAAACAAGGGTTGCTGCCATGTAAGTGGAGAGAAGAAGAAGATGGGAGAGATTTGGTGGAGGTCAATTAACAAGACTTGCCATTTGATTGGATACATAGACAGAGAAAGGAGTCGAAGATGACCCCTCAGTTTCAAATGTAAGTGACTAGAGAGTGACTGTTGCTCTTGACAGAAATAAGGAAGTTTGGAAGAGGGGTGAATTTAGTAATAGTTTAGATAATGTGTTCTGGTTGCGACATGTCTATTTTAAGATATCAAAAGGACAGGAAGCTGGGTATGTCCAACAGGCAGTTGGTAATATGGGACTGGAGCTTGGGAGAGAAACTAGGGCTGGATACAGAGATGTGGGAGTCATCTGCATAGAGATGCTAATGAGGTCACCAAAAGAGAGAAAACAGAGCAGAGCAGAGAAGAGGTCCTAAGACAATGCTGTGGGAGACATTCACAGTTAGGGAGAAGGATACAGATGATGATCCAGCAAAGGAGACTGAAGAAAACCAAAAGAACGCAATGTCACAAAAACCCAGAAAGGAGAAAATGTCCAAGTCGAGGAAAGAGTGGTCAGCAGTGTCTAATGCCACAGAGAGATAAACAAGAATAGGGACTAAGAAAAGGCCCCTGTCAGATCTGGCAATTGAGAGGTCACTGGTAACTTTGGAGAAACTAATCTCAGTTGAGTGGTGAGGTTGTGAGGTAGAAAGTTAGGTCGGAGAGGCAAGGTGATGTCAAGACACAGGATATGTTAGTGAAAAATCCAGGAGACCATTTAACAGAGGGCAGGTATCCAGATTAATGGACTTGGCTGCTTCTGGAAGGGGGCTGAAACAATACTTCCAATACCGAGTTGGGCAGAGATTGACTATAGTAGCTGGGTTCTCCAAGCCCTGCCTTCAGCATCTTCAAGGAAATATTGATTGACATTGCCCTGTTGGACAAGAAACAATGCATAGTCATAGTATGAGAAATCTTGTCTCCTGACTCCAATTAGTATACTGATGTATGAGTGAATATGGCTTCAGAGATCTGTGGACTCTCGTCCCTTACTCCATTACTAATTTATCTGAAATTGATCCTCCTTTTGTATTGATTCCATAACTACAGAGAAAAGAAAAGGTATCCTTCCTTTTAAAGAAACAAAACAAAACAAACTGGATTGTCATGCAGAATGCCTCTGAAACAGAGGTTTGGGTTTGTTTGTTTTTTTAAAGCACTTTGCCCCCCAAGAGGGGTGTCATAAGTATTAGCTCTTCTACCCGCAGGTCCTAGATCAGCCCTGTAGAGCCAATTAGAACAAGTCTCTTCTATAGCATAATCCTTCAAATATCTAGTTCTTCTCTACTACATCTTTTCATCCTCACTTCCTTCAGTTAATCCCCAGATGGCAAGAGTTCTACTCCCAAGGCGGAGCCAAGATGGCGGAGTGAAAGGAGTGACTTGCTTGAGCTCTCCTCCAAACCCCTCCAAATACTCATAAAAAATGGCTCTAAACAAATTCTGAAGCAGCAGAACCCACAAAAAGACAGAGTGAAACAAATTTCCAGCCCAAGACAACCTGGATAATTGATCAGAAAGGTGTATCATGCCGGGCTGGGAGCACAGCGCAGGCACAGCATGGGCACGCAGGCTGCAGAAAACCTGGAGCAGGCCTCAGAGGACTGAATCTCGGGCAGCTGTGCAGGTTTCCAGACTCCTCAATCCACCAATGCCAAAGACAAATTAGAAGGTCAGTGGGAAAAGTCTGTTTCTGTTGGTGCCTGAGAAAGGAAGGCGGGGTTTCAGCTCCATTCCCCAAGAGCGTGGCCCTAGGGGGGGAGGGGCAGCTGCTTCCCAAGCTTCCGGCCCACATACTGAGGGGGAATCCAGTGGCTGATCAGAGAGGGATTGCAGGGATCTCTTTGCCAGTGCTGAGGCAGGAATCTCTTGCTTTGCCCATGTTTGGATCTGGGCCACAGTTCTGGGCAGCAGTGCTGGGGTGAGGAGGAACGCTGGCTTGGTGGAGCTTGTAGTGGTTGTGGAGAGGAGCACCTCATCACAGTAACAGGACAAAAAGGAGTACTTGTAGTCGCAGGCCAGGAAAGGAGTAAACACCTCGCCCCTTATCATACCACCTTGGAAGAACTGAAAATTTACAGGTCCCTACAAGTATCTCTGAAAACAGCTGTACAAACCCCCGAAGCTTGGGACAGTATATTCTCCACATTGGAAGCAGATTCATACCTTAACAAAGAGTTTAAAACTCAAGTAATTGGCCGGGATCATGAGCAAGCAGCGCAAAAAGACTCAGACTATATTATCTTACTGTGGTGAAAAAGAAGACCAAAATATACCACCAGAAGAAGACAACAAAGTCAAAGCCCCTACATCCAAAGCCTCCAAGAAAAATATGAATTGGTCCCAGGCCATGGAAGAGCTCAAAAACGATTTTGAGAAGCAAGTTAGAGAAGTAGAGGAAAAACTGAGAGTGATGCTAAAGGAGACCCAAAAAAATACTGAAGAAAATAACACCTTAAAAAATAGCCTAACCCAAATGGCAAAAGAGGTCCAAAAAGCCAATGAGGAGAAAAATGCCCTAAAAAGCAAAATTGGCCAGATGGAAAAGGAAGTCCAAAAGCTTACTGAAGAAAATACTTCCTTAAAAATTAGAATAGAGCAATTGGAAGATAGTGACTTTATGAGAAATCAGACACAGTAGAACAAATCCAAAAGAATGAAAAATTAGAAAACAATGTGAAATATCTCATTGGAAAAACAACTGACCTGGAAAATAGATCCAGGAGAGAGAATTTAAAAATTATTGGACTATCTGAAAGCCATGATCAAAAAAAGAGCCTAGACATCATCTTTCAAGAAATTATCAAGGAAAACTGCCCTGATTATTAGAACCAGAGGGCAAAATAGAAATTGAAAGAATCCACAGATCTCCTCCTGAAAGAGATCCCCAAAGGAAAACTCCTAGGAATATTGTAGCCAAATTCCAGAGTTCCCAGGTCAAGGAGAAAATATTACAAGCTGCCAGAAGGAAACAGTTCAAGTACTGTGGAAACACAATCAGGATAACACAAGATTTAGCAGCTTCTACATTAAAGGACCGCAGGGCATGGAATATAATATTCCGGAGGGCAAAGGAGATAGGATTACAACCAAGAATCACCTACCCAGCAAAACTGAGTATAATCCTTCAGGGGAAAAAATGGTCATTCAGTGAAATAGAGGACTTTCAAGCATTCTTGATGAAAAGACCAGAGCTGAATAGAAAATTTGACTTTCAAATACAGGACTCAAGTGGAACATGAAGAGGTAAACAGGAAAGAGAAATCATAAGAGACTTATTAAGATTGAACTGTTTACATTCCTGCATGGAAAGATGATATTTATAACTCATGAGACCTTTGTCAGTATCAGGGTAGTTGGAGGAAAAAAATAATGATATATATATATATGATATATAGATAGATAGATAGATAGATAGATAGATAGATAGATAGATAGATAGAGGGCACAGGGTGAGCTGAAGATTAAGGGGTCATATCTGGAGAATAAAATTAAGGGATGAGAGAGGATTATACTCGGAGAAGAAGAAAGGGAGAGGTAGAATGGGGTAAATTATCTCACAGAAAAAAAAAACAGAAAAGGAAAGTCTCTTACAGTGGAAGGGGAGACAGGGGAAGGTGAGAGGGAATGAGGGAATCTTATTCTCATAGGATTTGGCTTAAGGAGGGAATAACATACGCATTCAATTGGGTGTGGAAATCTGTCTTACCCTGCAGGAAAATAGGGGGAGAAGGGGACAAGAGAGCAGGGGGTGATAGAGAGGAGGGCAGATTGGGAAAGGGGTTAATCAGAAGTAAATACTTCTGAGGAGAGACAGGATCAAAAGAAAGAATAGAATAAATGGGAGGGCAGGATAGGAGTAAGGGAAATAGAGTTAGTTTTTCACAACATGTCTACTATGGACGTGTTTTGCATAACTGCACATGTACAACTTATATTGAGTTGCTTGCCTTTTCAATGAGGGTGGGTGGGGAAGGAGGAAGAGAGAAAATTTGAAACCTAAAGTTTTAAAAACATATGTTTAAAAAAAATGTTTTCACATGCTACTGGGAAATAAATATAGGAAATGGGGTGCAGAAGGCTATCCCGCCCTACAGGAAAATAGAAGGGGAAGGGGATAAGAGAAGGGGAGAGAGATAGAAGAGAGGACAGAGTAGGGGAAGGGATATTCAGAATGCATGACATCTTGGGGTGGCAGGAGGGGGGAGATGGGGTGAAAATTTGGAACTCAAAAACTTGTGGAAGGGAATGTTGAAAACCAAAAATAAATAAATTTATATTAAGAAAGTTAAAAAAAAAGAAATAAATTTAGCTTATTAAAAAAAAAAGAGTTCTAGTTCCTTCACCATGCCCTCTGCCACCCAACATGCCACTAAGAACAACAAAATAGTATACATTGGGCATGTCTGTGAAGTGTTCTTTGGCAGGGCAGTGACGTCCTTCCAGCTCAATCTGCAGCTGGCCCCTACAAAGCTGGCAACAACTGAAGATTCTCCTTGAATTACGTGAACTTAAGAACCAAAACGGGGTGATTTAGATGGCCTTTGAGGTCCTTCCCAGCTTTGAAATCCTATAATGCTTTGGGCTAATTTAAGCATATTCCCAGCTTCAGAGATTTTAGAGCAGAGATTGACTGGGTTTGGGGCCTCACTTTTTCTCCCTTGAATTGCTATAATAAAACAAAAGGGTAAATAATAGGCATGGATTAGAAACCTAACCTGTCCCTTAGTAACTTCTTCGAGGACTCTGTTGGCAGATTGTTCCATTTCTCCATTGAACTGATCACCTAGCATTCTAAGACGAGCAGCAATGATTGTCACATCAAAAGAGCTTGGCTCACCTAAGACAAAGGAAACACAATCATCCTTCAGGGAATGGGTAAGTACCCTCATAGTTTTAAATAATTTCAGTACTCTTCCCTCATGGATTCCCCCTCCTAATTTCACTGGGGTGGTCTGTCTGTCATCACCGACAGAGAATCTCTTCACTGAATTACCATGGTGTGTCTCCTATCACAAAGGAGAAACAAATTTAACCCTCTTAATTTGCAAAACCCACCTAAACTTTGACCAATGACAAAAAGAAAATGCTGGCTGGCTGGTGGCCTATTTTTCCTTTTTGTAAACTGCCTAATGTAAAAAAAAAAAAAAGTAAAAATAGGCCACCAGCTAGAATTTTCTGTTACCTAATAGGACAGCTAGGTGGTGCAATGGATATAGTACCAGGCCTGGAGTCCGGGAGAATCATTCAAATTAAAATCTGGCCTCAGTTACTTACTGGCCCCTTGACCCTGGTCACTTAACCTGGTTTGCCTCCCTTTCCTTACCTGTAAAAGAAGCTGGAGAAAGAAATGGGATACCATTCCAGTATCTTTACTACGAAAACCACAAATGGAGTCACAAAGAGTTGGACATGACTGAACAACAACAAAACTTACTAATAAAAAGGGGAAAAAAGACAATGCTAAGGACCTAAAAGGAGATGACCAAGAGGGATGTGTCTAGTGGCCAGAGAGCTGGCGCTGAAGGAAGGAGAACCATTGCCATCCCTGTCCCACGTTAACAGGTAGTGGTTGTGCAAGCCAGGGCAAGTCAGGTAATCTCTCAGTGCCCAGGGCATTCTCGAAGGCTGTGACTTGCTGAGGTGGTGCTGACCTGCTTCAGTAGGGAAAGTTTCCTCATGGACTAGGTCCAGTTCCTACAGTGTAGAGCCATAGCCATTACTTACTCACTCAGGAAGCCTTACCAAAACCAGGGACATCATCATTATGAAAGCTGGGTCCTTGAAACTTGCATAGGACATAATCATGATGGAAGCTGCGGCCTTGTCTTGTCAGTGGTGGGCCCAAGAATTCAAAGAGCAGTGATTCCACAATGCACTCGGTTTGTTCCTCAAAGCTCTGGGGAGCCTTCATTTTAGAGCTGTTTGCTGAGCAGCAACCTTTCCCCTAAAGAAGTGGCGTTCATTCACTTCAAGAGGAAGTGAGTCTTTTTGCCTCTTTTAGGTAATTCCCAGTTACAATTGGTTGGATCTTCTTGGAGCCCTGCCCATCAAAATGAGTTTCCTGGCAACAGAATTGAGACCTTCCCTTCCAGGCTGATGTAACACCCGGAAGTCTTGGTAATAACTCCCCAGTTGCTAACCATTGATACCCACTCTTGTTAATTGCACAAAAATTAATAAATAACTATATTTGGCAATGTTTCCTGGAAGAAAGTCTGTCTGCTAAATGACTTATCTGAAATGTTGTCTACAAAGTTCTTCATGCTCTATTGGGACTGAATACTTCGTACTTTTGGGCTCTGCCTATGCAATAGGAAAAATTGTTTGTTTTCTGTACCTGAGACTCCCTCGCTAATATCTCTGTTTCTGCTAGGGTCAAATACAAACTCCTGTGTTTGGTCTTTAAACAACCTTGACTCTGATCTATCTTTGCAGTCTTATTATATTATTACTCCCCTTCATTCCTCCTCACAGAGTTCACTCTATGATCCAGGCTTCTGCCTGTTCTATATACACAGGACTCCACCTCCAATCTCTAGACCTTCGTTCGGGCTATACTTCACACCTGAAATGTTGGTAAAAGGATAGCAGCCAGTTGAGAAATCTCATGGATGGCTCTTCTGGTATAAGGACAATCCAGCTACTCTATGGTGGACTTTGAGGGTCTGTATCTATATGTTGTTGATATTTGTATCTCTTCCAGTTTTTAGTGCTTCATCATGGCCAGGAGGGACCCCTGGATTCTTGCAGGTTATGACAGCTTGGAGAAAACTTTAGCAGTTCCTATGAAGCTGGAAAAATATAGCCCATGATCAGCTTTATACTAGTCATCTGAAGAACAACTTTGCTAGTGACGTGCCAGAGAGACTCATTGCCAAGCTGGCTACAGGGGAACAAATCTTCAGTGTGGCAACTCTCAAATGTGGTACAAAAGTTGCAATCTGAATCTGTGAAGGGAAGGCCAGACCAACAAATTTACAGATCCTTGATGTCATGAATGTGTGGGATATTACTAAATATATATTAAATATAAAAGATATATAAAATATGAAATATATATTAAATATAAATGTGATATATTAAATATAATAAATATATTAAATATAATAAATAAAAATAAAGTTAAAAACAAAGACTTAGATAGATACCTTGAAAGTAGAAAGGAGTTTATTGCTTTCTCATGAGAAAGGCTACCACCCCTGGTCGCCATTGCAGGCCAGGAGAGTGTTTGTTACAGAAATCAAGGCTTATTTATACTCTAACTTGAGCTCCTCCTCCCTAATCCCCTTCCCCTTATCCCATTGGCTGGGCTTTCAGGAGGTACAGTCTCTTCACCGAGACACAAGTTTGCCCAGAGACAAGAAAAGGTGGGAAGTTTTGCAAGGGCAAACAGTTCAGGTTGGGGTAGGGCTATTCATTCTGCTGCATGCTTAAAAACAGGGTCTGAGTGGGAAAGGGTTTTGAAAGCAACAATCAAGAACTATTAACAAGAACTATTGACCCCCTGAGGAGGCTTCACTTCTGAGAGGTCATCTCCCACATGAAGAATGGTCTTTCCTCCGTGCATTGTACTGTACTCGTACTAGTATGTTGGTTGGACGAACGGCTCTTGGGACCCCTTGGATTGTCTACAGGGACTGTAAAGAGATCATCTGGGACACAGCCTTCGTTTTACAGATTAAGAAACTGTGTAAAATCAGAGATTTCAGATAACCTGTCCAGTGTCACATGGGTAATAAGTAGCAAAGCTGGTATTTAAGCCCATGTCCTTTGACTACAAAGCTAGTACTCTTTCCACAATATCATACTATCTCTCTATTCCTTCTTAGCCATTGTTCCAATAATGTGATATCCTCTAGACAGACTATATCAAAGAAAAATATATTATATGCATATAGATGGAGAGATGTAGATGTATAAATACTGTATTCCTCATTTTTGGTACAAGAAACAGTCTTATTTACCATTATTCTATAGCCAAGCAATTTCTAGTTTAGAAACAGAAAGATGTCCAAACTGGCATAGTTCCCTTATCCCCTCTGTCTCTAACCCAAGATGATTTGAGGTAACATTGATGAAAATCTTAAACAAGGAAAAAATCATAATACAATGTTAAAATACAGTTTAAGGTTAACATTCTAGAACACTCACTACTCAATTTCCCCCTTGACCACTCCCCTCATGGGCTGAAAGGGTACAAAAAAGGATACTGCCCTTAGATGGGCCAATCACTTCATGGTTGTAGGGAGGCAATGATCCCAACTAGATAAGAATTAACACAGATTTATAGATCTTAAGCTATTTCTCTAAGAAAGGTCTTCTCTTCTTGGACTTCTACACTTTCAAACAAGGAAAAGTCTTGAAAAAACTTTTAGACTAGAGAAATATTAAACTCTTAGTATCTTCATTTGAACTATAAAGAGGTGCTTAATATACTTCCACAACTATAATGTGGCATTTTCTATAGCATGTATACTTTTGCTATCAGCACCCATGTTTTAAGGGTAAATATTTTATCTTTTTAATCTTTAAGAATTTTTAAAAATCAATTTCATTGTTGCTTTCTGTTTTTTATATCACTTCATTTCCCCAAATATATCTTTTACTAGCCCCTGCCTGGTAAGAAAAAGGAAAGGGTGGAGGGGGAAGAGTGAAGCACTTCAATAAAATTAACCAATACATCAGCCAAATCTGAGAGCGTATGATATATTCCACATCCTTGGTCCCCCATCTCTCCAAAGAAGGAAAGGACCAGACTTTGCTTGGTTCTTCTCAGGGGCCAAGATTGGTTATAATAATTTTATAACATTCAGTTTCATTTTTTAATACTTTCTGTTTACACTGTTCTGGTTATTATGTATATTGTTTTCCTGATTCTGGTTATTTTTATTCTGATCATTTCATGTCTTCCCAAATTTCTGAATTATTTATATTTTTTTCTATATATTTCTTATGGTATGATAATATTACATTGCATTCACATACAATAATTTGTTTAGCCATTTCCCAACAATGAGCATCTATTTTCTTTTTTAAAAATTATTTTGATATATTTTGTTTTTATATCATCCTCATTTCTCATATCCATTCCACTCCCAGAAAGCCATCTCTTATGACAAGTAAATAATGAAAGGAAGGAAGGAAGGAAGGAAGGAAGGAAGGAAGGAAGGAAGGAAGGAAGGAAGGAAGGAAGGAAAGAAGGAAGGAAGGAAGGAAGGAAGGAAGAAAAAGGAGGGAAGGAACAAATGAATGAATGAAAGGAGGAAAGGAAGGAAAGAGAAAGAAAAAAAGAAAGAGAAAAAAACACCAGTTCAGAAAAACTAAGTAACACATCAACCAAATCCAAGTTTGCAAACCCAACTACTTTTCCAGTTCTTTGTCCCCGCAGAAAGCCATGCTGTGAATGTTTTGGTATATATACAGATATATCTATATATAAAATCTTTGGGGCATTTAAGTGATGCAGTGGATAAAGTGCCTGGTTTGGAGTCAGGAAGATCAGTCTTCCTGAGTTCAAATCCAGCATCAGACACTTACTAGCTGTGTGACCCTGGGTAAGTCACTTAACCCTGTTTGCCTCAGTTTCTTCATCTGTAAAATAAGATGGAGAAGGAAATGGTAAACCACTCCAGTATCTTTGCCAAGAAAACCCCAAATAGAGTCATGGAGAGTTGGACATGACTGAAAAATGACCCAACAAAAAATCTGACACATATCACCTATATGACTTTGGATAAGTCACTTGACTTCTGGTGGACCTGAGTTTCCTCCTTTGTGCTAATTTTTTCTAAGTCTCCTTCCACCTGTAAATGTATGATCCTACAAATGACTAAATGAGCTAATGTATGGGGAAACACTGCAAATTTGTAAAACATTATTGAAATATAAGGTGGTGGTACCCTGATGTAGTGGGAAAGCCTACTGGATCTAAAGACAGAAGGCATGGGTTCAGATCCTGACTCTGCTGCTTCACCGCTTGTGGGACCTTGGGACAAGTCCTTTCATCTCTCTGAACCTCAGTTTACTCATCTGTAAAATGAGAGGATGAAAGTAGATGATATCTAAGGCCTCTTCCAGCTCTAAATTGTATAGTCCTAAGAGACAAACGGTAACAAATCTCGATGAATGTGAACACAATGTTTTTAAACACAGAAATTGTCATGGCATAGAAGTAGCAAATAATTAGTAAATCTTTTCAGCTCAACACCTGTTACCACACCCAGGAAGAAAAGGTTTTCATTACACTCCCAGGGCTCCATGAACTGCCAAATTACAAACACCTAAGGTAAAGGTTAGTTATGGTGAAGAAAGATAACAGCATAAAGCAGGAAAATGACTTCCTTATGGTTCTGTTGAATCCATTTCTTCACCTGGACTTTTGGGGTCAGCAGCATTTAATGAGAGGACATAGGTCAAACAGGGGATGGGCAGGACCTAGAGGTCTGACAGATGTATAGTGGCAGAGAGGTCATGAAGGGACGGGGTGGGGCATCAAATCAGTATCAGGAAGTAGGAGGATGTCCAGGCTTGTCAACAGTAAGGAGACAGGACCTCAAAGATCCTCTATTGGACTAAGAAGATCCAGCAGCAGGTACAGGAGTTTAGAGACTGTATCCTAGTCCTTTCTAAGGTCAGGGGTGGAGCAGAGGCATGGCTTTAGTCTTACAGGAATTGGTGTATAAAGGAGAGAAACAAGGTAGGGACAGTTACTGGAACTCAGGGGTACGAGGCAGAACTTGATTCCAAAGAATAAGGCAAAAACCAGTGTTTACTAGAACCAAGCCAGAGAAGGAGCAGTAAATAGCAAGCTGAAGCCCTGATCTATTAGTCTAAGACCCCAGTTTCCCATCCAGTGGTAGGATTGGTCCCATAGTCTGGGACAGGGCTGAAACTAGGAAGCTAAGTGGCCCAGTGCATCAAGTGATGGACCTGGAGTCAGGAAGACTGGAGTTCAAACCTGGCCTCAGACATTTACCAGCTATGTGATTCTGGGCAAGTCACCTAACATCTGGTTGCCTCAGTTGAAAAATGGAGATAATAATAGCACCTACCTCCCATGGTTGTTATAAGGATCAAATGAAATAACATGTAAAGCATTTTGGAAACCTTAAAGCACTATATAAATACTAGCTATTATTACTGTTATTGATATAGAGTAGCTTCAGCTACCAAGGTTAGAAGGTTACAGGCGCAGAGAGCCAAGCAGATAATTACGTCCCCATTATATTTTAACTTCTTTACAGATTGGCAGAAACTAGGTATAGACCAACATCTCACCCCATATACCAAAATAAGGTTAAAATGGGTACATGATTTAGACAGAAAGACACAGACATAAAGGGTGATACCATAAGCAAATCAGGGAAGAATGGAGTAGTTTATCTGTCAGATCTATGGAGAAGGGAAGAATTTATGATCAAACAAGAAATAGCATTACAGGATGTAAAATGGATAATTATGATTACATTAAATTAAAAATTTACCTAAAGCCAATGCAACCAAGTTTAGAAGGAAAGCAAAAAACTGGGGAAAAAATTTTACAGCAAATTTTTCTGATAAAGGCCTCCTTTCTCAAATATAGAGAGAACTAAGTCAAATTTATAAGAATATGAGTCATTCCCAATTGATAAATGGTCAAAGGATATGAACAGGAAGTTTTCAGGAGAAATCAAAGCTATCTATAGTTATATGAAAAAAATGCTCTAAATCACTATTGATTAGAGAAATACAAATTAAAACAACTCTGAGGTACTACCTCACACCTATCAGATTGGCTAATTATGGCAGAAAAGGAAAATGACAAATGTTGGAAGGAACGTGGGAAAATTGGGACACTTATCCACTACTGGTGAAGTTGTGGACTAATTCAACCATTCTGGAGAACAATCTGGAACTATACCCAAAGGGCTATCAAACTGTGCATGCCCTTTGACCAAGTAATATCACTACTAGGCCTGTATCCCAAAGAGATCAAAGGAAAAGGAGAAGTTCCTATAATACAAAAATATTTATAGCAGCTCTTTTTGTGGTGGCAAAGAATTAAAAATTGAGAGGATGTCCATCAGTTGGGGAATACCTAAACAAATTGTGATATTTGATTGTGATGGAATACTATTGTACTATAATAATTGATGAGCAGAATGGTTTCAGGAAAATCTGGGAAGACTTATATGAACTGATACAAAGTGAAGTGAGCAGGACCAAACATTGTCCACAGTGAAAGCAATATTGTACGGATCAACTGTGAATGACTTAACTATTCTTATGGATATAATGATACAAGATAATTCTGAAGGACTTATGATGAAAAATGCTATTCACCTCCAGAGAAAGAACTGGTAAGAGTCTGAATACAGATCGAAGCATACTATTTTTCACTTTTTCTTTTTCTTGTTTTTTTTTTTGTCTGCCTTCTCTTTTGCAACATGCCTAACATGGAAATGTTTTATATGACTACACATGTATAATCTATATCAAAGTGCTTGCCTTCTCAAGGAGGGGAAAGGGAAGGAGGAAGGGAATTTGGAACTCAAAAATATTAAAAAAAAGTTAATTGTTTTTACATATAATTGAGAATAAAATAAAATAAAAACTCCCTTTTTTTTAAAAAGGTGATTGGGGTTCAGTGACTTGCCCAGGGTCACACAGCTAGTAAGTGTCAAGTGTTTGGTCTGAGGCCGGATTTGAACTCAGGTCCCCCTGACTTCAGTGCCAGTGCTCTATCCACTGTGCCACCTAGCTGCCCCTCTCTCCTAATATCTAGAAGCAACCAAAAAGGGCTTTATCTTCCCAAAAGCTTCCATAATTAATGGTGATTCATCATTATTCAGCAACTGAGCTATAGTTTCTTCAGTTCAACATGAATTACCACTTTTAATTTTTATCAATCAGTTCACTAACACTAGTCTCTTTTCCCATGATATCTTTCCTCCCTTTCACATCCAAGCTCCTAAAAACTCTCCTTGCCTCCACTATCTTCCCACCCACCCCCCTTCTGAGACTAGGTCTTCCTAGCTTACCTAGCTAGAAATGAAGCAGCTACTCATAAGCTGCATTCCATAACTGAGCAGCACGGAAGCTTTGACCTATTCCCTCCGTGGATCACCTGACCCCTCCTTAGGCAGCCTGGTGCCCCTGACCCCATTCCTGGAGGTTCACCATATTGGTGCCAAATTTAGTGCAGACAACCAATTGGCTTTAGGCCAAGTGCAACTCAGAAATCTGGAGCCTCAGCCTTCCCAGGAGCAAAGATCAGATGCCACCACACCCAGCTCTCTCACTTTTCAGCCTCTGGCAGTCTGGCTTCTGACTTCATCTCCCAACTGAAACTGATCTCTCCAAAGATGCCAGTGAAACTTTAGTTACAAAATCCAAGGGGCAGCTAGGTGGTACAGTGGATAGAGGCCTGGAGTCAGGAGGAAATGAGTTCAAATCCAGCCTTAGACACGTCACACTTACTAGCTGTGTGACCCTGGGCAAGTCACTTAACCTTGATTGCCTTACCAAAAAAAAAAAATCTGATGGCTTTTTCTTAATCCTTATCTTTCTTGACCTCTCTGAGAAGGATTTCCACACTGCCCAACACTCTCTCCTCCTAGTCTCTCTCCTTGGGTGTCTGTGACACCGTCTACTTTGGCATGTCTGAGCTCTTAGTCTATTTTGCTGGATGATCAAGTATAACCCATCCCTACCACTGAAAGTATACTCCAAGGCCCTCTCCTCTCTAAATGCTCTGGGTGATCTCATCAGCTCTCTTGGCTTCAATTATTATGTCTATGCAGTTTTCTCCCAAATCTATTCAGCCCTGGACCCTTCCCCTAGTCCTTGTCCCAGATACACATTTTAAAGTGGATGTATGAAATGCTAGCTGTTATCTCAAACGCTCCAAGTCTGAAATGGAACTATTCTTTTCCCTCAAATCCACCCCTCCCTCCAAACCTTTCTATTTCCACTCTGGACACCCCCATTCTCCTGATCACCCAGGTTCACAACCCAGGAGTCATCCTTGACTCCACGCTCTTTCCTAGCACATATCCAATTAGTTGCCAAGTCTTGCTCTACATCGTCTCTTACATCAGTTCCCTCTCCTCCACTCACAAGGCCAACACCCTGGTTTAAGCCCTCATTACCTCTCCAAGACTATCCAGTCACCTTCTAATTTATCTCCCTGCCTTGAGATTCTTTCCTTTCCAATCTGCCCTCCACACAATGGGCAAACTTGTTTTCTTAAAGCACAGCTCTGGCCAAGTCACTCACTTGCTCAATTAACTCTTCTGGCTCCTCATTACCTCCAGAGTGAAATGGAACCCATTTAAAGTTCAGCATTTAAAGGCCTTTATGACCTGGTTATAGCCGATTATACAATGCTCCCTTCATGCACTTATCAGCCTAGCCAAACTGGTTCTTACTGTTCCTCTGTCTCTTGCACAAGTTATTCTCGATGCCAGGAATGCACTCTCTCTTCACCATTGGGGGATTCTTAGAGAATCTTCCAATTTCCTTCAAAACTAAACTCAAGCATAAGTTGCTTTTCCTCACCAAACTACCTTGTATTTACTTTGTATATACTCACATGTGTGCATGCTATCTCCCCTAATAGAATATAAACTCCTTGGGGGAAAGGATGGCTTAATTTTATTTGCATGTCCCCAGGACCCAAGTTCCTGGCACAAAAACATTGATTTAATAACTTCTGGTTGATTCATGCCACCTCTCCCGTCTAGCACTTCCCACGTTAGGCTGTCTCTGTTTTGAGAGGTGCTGGGCTCTAGGGCACTTGGACAGACTGGTCTTCAATAGCTGAAAGCATCAAGGCTTAGGGCCTAGGCTTAGCATAGGCTTAAGGTCCTTCCAGCTTGGGAGAAGCTGCTAGAGCAGTACTGTTGGCATAACCTCATTCTCTTCATACTTTAGCTTAACATTTAGGCTTTTGTTTTATTTTGTTTTCTGAGCAATTCAAAACATGAAAGAAGCAGCCCTAGGGCTGATCTCTATACCTTTAACCTATGGGACCCATGATCCAGATGGATTTCTAATGTTTTCCATACAATTCATTTGATAATGAAAAACACAGTGGGGAAAAAAACCAGTTACTAGCATCTAAATACTTAGATACCTTCAAGGAGATCAATGTCCATTACTATAAGGAAAGGATGAAGGCCTAGATCTAGATAGACCCTCATGTCTAATTAGAAACAATGCTCAAGCCTCCACCAGAATGACTTTATGCTCTCCTTTGTGTAGTGGAAGGCTCAAAAAGCCTAATGACTCACTGTGTGAACCCGATGGGCGACTTCACCTTTCTGAGCAGCAAGATCGCTCATCAACAAGATGGGAGAGTGTGCTTGCACTGCCTGCCTCAGGCACGTGATGCAAAGGAACAGCTTTGAAGCATGAAAAAGAACTGGATCAGGTCAAGAACCTGGGTTCCAGGCCTGGCTCGGCCACTTGCTAGACATGTGCTCTAGGGCCAGTCAGACCCTCCCCCTGGGCCTTTCCCATCTATGACATGAGGCAACTGGAGAGATAATGATGAAGATCCTTCCAGTGCTAAGATTTCATGATCCTAAACAGCAAAACATTCTCATTACTTCTACATCTTTGCCTGAATCTCTTACTATCTTGAATGAAGCTTCACAACACCAATGTAGAGATGTGAAGTCATCTGTCCATGGAAGGAATGACCTTAAAACCCACCTAAGAATCCTGATTCCTGGATTTCTCCCTTCCCTTTCCTCTAATATTATTCAAACTTAAGGAATCAGAGAACAAATGGCAAACCTGGATCATTATTTATGCCTCCTTACAAAAGGCAGCAAGAATCTATCAAGATTTTATGCCCACGATTGTCCCAATCACAGTTTTTAATACAGAAATAAAGCTGTTCAGGGCCTCTGCTTTGGCCTGGCTTTGCTTCACTGAGAGGCGCACTTGCGACTGCTCAGGATCTAATAGCAGTTCTGTTAGAAAGAGGCAGCCTGCACCGTCCTGGGCACTAAAGTAGGCCTTCCAGGGCTGAACACCAGCCTTGCTCAGGGCGATGGTCTGGATGTTCACCATCTGCAGAGCTGTCTGGATGGTGTCAGGATGGGCTACTCCTTGCCAGGGGAAAACTTCTCGGTGGGCCACTTCCAGGCTCAGCCAAGTCTTCTCAAACTGCTCAGCAGTTAGTTGGCCATTAGGGAGCAGGAGGAAAGATCCAGAGTCACACAGAGGCTGTCGCTCCTCTTTGTTCTCTGAAACTAAGGATCCTAAAATGAAAAGAAAGAGAATCTTCTCTAATAGACGTGTTTAATAAAAAATGGTATGTGTTTAAATGCCCAAATCTCTAAACGTATAAGGCATTTTTCATCCTTGGAAACATGTTTAATAACCAGTACTCTGAAGTATACTGGTGGCTTCACTTAGATGAACTTTTCTCAATCAGAAAAATAATAAAAGCTGTCCTATATTTAACATATTGTGGAAGGCTAATAAGAAGGGTCCTAAGTCCCCCTCAAAGTTTTTACCTGATGCAGAAAGGACTCCATTTCCAGAAGGTTCAGGGCCGTGAGGCTCTGACACCTGAGGTGAAGAGATGGCTGCCCAGCATGCTTTGCTATACATTGGTACTAATGTGTTGAACTCAGAGACCCAGCTATTTACAGGTCTTTCTGCTTGGTCTTCCAGGAGCCCAAGAGAAGGGTCAGATTTGGGGCTACATAGGATTCGCTTCACCTCATCAATGCCAGTTAAGAGAAGGCGATAGTAGAAGAGCCCTCGGTCCCTTACTGCCATATCCTTTTCCTCCTCTAGGAGAGAAAATCAAAAACATATAAATGACTTTAACATTCTCTCACCATCCTCATGCCATACATTTTCCATTCTGATGTAAACATGAAAAAAGGAAAAGAGAAGGGGAAGAAAAAACCAAAAAAAAAGAAAGGGAAGAAGAGCCAGGAAGACTGAACAACTAGTTTCTCCTCAGAGTCTGGACATATTTTGCCAATAAGCCAAAGTCATAGAGATTATCACTGTCAGTTCAAGGCAGATGCTGTTCCTCCCAAGGGACCCACCTATGCAGTAATATAGCAGACGCCCCAGCATGTCTTGGCACTCAGCAGGCCGGGAGAGAAACAGGCGCAGCAGTGCTGTCAATAACTCCATCTTAACTGCTGGAAATGTCTCTGCCTTCACGTTTTCCACAAAGTCCTCCAACACATATGGAGCATTCGGGATTGTTTCCCCGTGTACTCCAAGGAGCCAGATCAGCGCCTGCTTTCCCTAGGGAGTTAAGGAAGTAAGAAGAGGCTGGTAAAGTACAGGACATAAAGTGACAGATGACTGTCACCTTTGCCTCTCTCAGTACAGGGGAAAACGTATAACCATCTAGTTTGGTTATCGCTGCTGATTCTCTCCACCAGAGCCTGCTGTAAAGGAGGCAGATATGCCATCACACAGAAGTGACTAAGTAGGAGAGTGCTGCTAAGGCTCCCAGAGCCTGGGTTTATTTGGCAGGATGGTTTCCTAAGCTTTGAGGCCTGTGTGCCTAATGCCTGCCAAATGAACTTTACTAACAACAACAATCGCTAATATTTATATAGTGCTTTAAGATTTGCAAACTGTTTTACATATATCTCATTTGATCTTCCCAACAACCTGGAAGGTAGGTACTATCATTATCCCATTTTACAGATAAGAAAACTGAGGCTGCCAAAAGGTGTGACTTGCCCAGGATCAAACAGCTAGTAAGTATCTGAGGAAGAATTTGAGCCCACATCTTCCTGACTTCCCATCCTGTATTCTATCCACTATGCCACACGGCTCCCTCACTAAATTACCTTTCTAAAATTACTTCCAAAGGCTAGAGAAAGACAGTGGAATTCTCAAAAACGTATGGCCCCAAATTGCTCAGGAGGACAATTATAGCAAGTTATTTGTGATTCAAACATATAAATTCATTCTAAAAGATCCCATTTTAGACCCCAGTCGGGAAGTGGCTGTAAAACAAGTTCAGTGAGCACAGTTGTAAGAATCCCACCCTCCTCCTTGAAGAAACCAAGGCTGAGCCTATACCTCGCTATCCTGAATGTTCTCCTCACAGCCAGGCAGGGCCTGACACACAGCCTCCATGCACTGAGGACAAAGCCAGACCAGGTTTCGGAAAGTCTGTACCACAGCTACAGAAAAACACAGAACACCACAGAAATCGTAAGTCTCACATGTAAAAAAGCAAACCAGAGTCAGGCATTTATTCACATCTAAGCTCCACAGGGGTCTCTGTAAAATTTCCTGGGACTTAAAAAAAATAAGAAAAAGAATTTTTACTGGAATGATCTGTCTGTGAAACATCTGCCAACAAACATTTCCCAACATCAGTCTTTTTACTATTAGGTCAGAGAAATGAGGTTTCTTCTTTGGATTACAATATTACCAATTCTAATCCAGTGGCAAAGCAGAAGAAATAATGGGTCCTATTATAACTCTTCATTTTGGTCATGATTCCAAGAAGTAATGATAGCTAATAGCTACCATTTACATAGCACTTTGATGTTTGCAAAATGCTTTACATATTATGTCATTTGATTTCATTTACATATATTATCTCATTTCAAGAAGATGGCTGGTATGAAATCCAAACATCAGTACAAGATCAAGCAGGGCTATCTATGGCAAATTCATACTAGGAGCCTGTGCTAAGACTTCTTTGATACTTTAAGAGACATAAAGAACTCAAAAGAGACACAGAGTTCCACACACCTCTGATACAATGCCCAAGGGAAACACAGAGAGCAAATTAGAGAATCTTTGAGTAATTTTATGGAACATCACTGGTCTAAAAATCATGGTTTAAATTAAGGAGATGAGTAAAAAAAAATAAACAGGACAGCAATATTCTCATCTAAAGGTGAGTGACAGCTAAGAAAACAAGGCTGTACAGTATGGCCTCCGTTTGAGAAACACTAAGATTCTGGGCTCAGCTCCTCCCCTGGCTGCTATTGCTGCTATAGCTGCTAAGCTGGGCTCCTGGATTCACGGCCACACCTGAATGAGTCTGTGCAGCAGCTGGATGAAGTGTTCATGAAATACTTGTTGAGAGATGCCTGGAAGAGTGAAAGAAGTCTCTGTGAATGGAGGAGAGGGCAGAGGAAGGAAGGGAACAGCCTGAAGTTTTCCCTACACCAATCTGAAGCAAAAGGCCTGAAATATGCAGGTTCTGGACAGCAGAATCTCCACCCAGGCACACCTTTCTTTAGAAAAGCTAAAATCGCATTGTTGGCAAAGAATGTAGCTAAACAGCAATTACCTGAGGTTATGTGCTCCTGCCTGAGCACCAGCAGCTCTGTTAGGATCTGAACACACTGATCTGTGTAGGTCCTGGCAATGGCACCTACCAAGGAAGGGAAGGCAAAAGCAGTTGTAAAATAAGAAATAATCACCAAATACAACTAAGTGACTAAGAATCTGAACACCGGAGGAGCTTCTTTAAGCCAAAGACCAAGTGGGCTAGAGCCATAGGCACACAGATGCCTTCCAGCAAAGCTGACTGTAAAGTGAACTTTGGTTAAAAGAAAAATCCTATTTTTTCACTAATTCCCACTATAACCTTGGGGATTCTTGGGGGCAAAAAACCTCTCAATAAAAATGAGTTGCAAACTTTAGCCAAAAAAAAGCACTTTAAGGTGGCCCCTGGGAGGCATTCTGGACATCACAGACCAGCAGAGCTTAGAAATGTACCTGTTAATAGTATTCTGTAGCAATTTCCTACCTCCAGGTCCTACTCTCCACCATTATCAGTCTCTCCTTTGCCCTACAAAAAACCAAGAGATTTTTTTTTCCTGTCAGAGGATCCCCCTAACTCTATGCCTAAAGCTTTAAAATTTTAGCGTCTCTCCTTTCTGTTCAGATATTTATAATACTTCAACTAGAACTGTAGTTCTAGGCCTTGTCAAAAGGTGCCACCATTTATCAGAAGATACTTAAAATTCTAGGGAGTTTGGAAACAAGATAAGATTAGGGGTCAGGAGAACACATATCTAGTCCCAGCTTATTTTGGCAAATCCCTAAACTTTCTGTTCCTCGGGTTCTCTATCTAGAAAATGGGAATTATAATATCTATTCTACCTGCTTTTTAGGAATTTTTGAGAATAACATGAGTTTAGTAATTTGAAAAGTATAACTTTATTCAAATGAAAGATGTTATAAACTCTAAATGCTTTATCTTGAGTTCCTTTAAAATGAAGATCTAAAATCGCTATCCTTAGAGAGATGGTGAGTTTGGTCCTGAACAGGCCCTACTTTGCTAATGTGATACCTGCAATTTGTGAGTCATTTGCCCAGTTCTTGATGGAAAGCCTTGTTACCTCTGAAGTTTGCCCTTGAGTCTCTGATGTTCCTCTGGGCATAGCTTTCTGGCTTGCCCATCTGGCCCCAAAGGAGGGAGAAGCAGCAGACACTTTACCTATGGCAAAGATGGCAGCCTGTGCTAGGTCAGCTGACACATCAGTACAGTAATCCCGGAGCTCATCTAGCACCTGCTGGACATTCTCATCATTCACCAGCTCACACAGAACTTCCACTTTCTGCAGTTTGATGTAGTGTGGTTCTGAGTAGGAGCAGAAGAATTTTTTGTAGTGGCTACTGAAGTGGCCAGGCAGACTACGTAGGATCCGTCGCACGTGGCAGAGAGCAGCGAAACAGAGCTCACGGCTCTCTGAGGAACAGGCGGTCAACAAGGGACCCTTGACTCTAACAAGCACATCTGTTTGCACGTGGGGGAATTCTTTTGCCAAAACAAGAAAGAGTTTGGTGGCTGCCATCACCACAGCTGGGCTGCTGCTCTGAAGAGAACTGTCCAACAAATTGAGGATGGCAAAGAGTTCCTCCTCACTTCGAGGCTGGTAGCGTAACAGGAAGCCCAGCACCTCAGCCTGGCCCCACTGGTCCAGGTCTGGCATTCTGCCCCAGAGAGAAAATAAAGTTACTGTTCTGACAGCAAAACACAATTCCTTCTTTGCAACCACGTCTTATCAGCTGCTTAAAACAGGGAAGAATATTTAAAATAAGTTCTGATGGAAGAACACAGAACTTTAAACAAGTTTATAGAGTATAGCATCCCTCTTAAACAAAGCCATAGGTTCTTCTTCAAGAGAGATGCTATCCTATACAAACCTTAACATTTGTGCAAAATTGCCTTTAAAATCACAAGCAACTGCATAACGCTTACTAGTCTAGGATCAAGGGCTTAATCTTTGGCCTCAGATTCAGATTCTCCACATCTTAAGGTAGCACAACTAACTTAGCCGAGAAGTATGTGTGGGAGGGGGGCCCTCAGCAGTATGATGGCTTTAAAACAAGATGGGACCTAATATCTCACAGGGTATGCTCCTGTTTAATACTCTGCATGTGGACAGAAAAGCTCAAAGAAAAGAATTGGTTTTTTGTTCAGTGAATTGTGGGGAAGTTGATAACTGTGGTCCTTTTCACTCCCCTAGGGAAAACTGTTCAAGAACTCTCCTTAATACAGCACAACCACCAAAAGGAATCTCCCAGCTCAACATACAAACCGATTTAAGAGGTGGTGGGCAATGGGTTTATTGATAACAACGCCTCCCTCATGCTTCAAGATCTCCTCCAGAGCTCTCAGGCAATTCACCACTACAATGGGATCCTGGTCTCGAAGGAGACTGTACAATTCGTTCACCAGGGTGCCATCTACAATGAAACATAGAAGAGCAAAAATTTCCAGCAAAGAAAATCTTCAGTCACAGGAATGGAAATAGGTACCCAGCAGAAAACCTCTATTACAAAAATGAAAGTGGCAACCACAGAATGTAAAGCAACAAATCCTGACCTCCAGGTCAGTCTAAGTAGATAATGCTAAGAATCTCACTTGGGCTCCAAACACATGATGGTTCTAACTCATAAAACACCAAGAACTGTAATCTACTTGAAGGCCTCAGTGCACAGAAGCAAATCTCATTCAACAATTCATGGTAATTCATAAGGAAAGTTTTCAATATTTCCTTCTAGTGAAAACACAACTGCTTACTGTCCAAAACACTACGGATACTCAGTAAATACTCACGATGATGAGAAGAACTGCCACTTACCCACTTCAGAGTCTGCGTGGAGATTATACATTTTTGCACAGCCAAGAACTGCCACCCTCCTGACATAGGAAGCTTTATCCCGAAGGCCATTCAAAATAGGTTGCTGGATATATTCTTGTACTCCAGGCATCCTATGCAAAACACTCTGAAGTCAGCCAGGCTCTGAAGAGCCAATTCTGACTTGATTTAGTACCTACAACACTTGGGTCACAGAAGCCTGAGGGAATGCTTTCCAGTGCAAAACCTGGTAATGTGCATCTAATCAGGAAATAAAGAAGAAGACTTCTTTCTAACTCTGAATGCCATCATTATCTGATTTTTGCATGGAATTCTATGGGAGAAGCATAAAAAAGGTCATGTTTGCAAATGCTTAGAAGTCTTCAACAAAAACAAAGGAATCAGATTTCAAGCATTAAAAAAGAAAACCTCACATTGATATAATTGTACTATATGAGTTTTCTAAATCAAACCAGTGGTAGGTTTGAGGGGCCACAAGATTTTCCCCAGTGCTATAAGATCACAAATAAGTTGATTTTATTCCATACTCCTTGATTCCCTAATTATACCAGCAGAAAACTAGAGCTGGGAGAATGAAGTGAGTAGTTGGGGAGGAGAAGACAGGGAGAACACTTACTTACCTAAGGCTGCACATGCTCCTGAGTGCCAATCCTCGGACCATGGGGTTGGGGTCTGAGCAGTCCTTGCATAGTGTATTGATGGCCAGGAGAGCAAGGTCTGGTTTTAGGGGGGCATATGTGCACATGTACAGATACACTAGCTTCTTCTGTACAATGTCCACAGTAGCACTGGCTTTCACCATTTCCATGAAGACACTGGACACATCCACACCCTGAGTCATATGCCTAAAATCAAAATATCAATGAAAGTATAAAAAACAACATTCCCTAAGTTCCAACAATAGGGATTTTAAAGTTTGTTTTCATGAATATATGCACGTATCATTTTCCCAATTAGATTTTTTTTTTTAGGTAATTGGAGTTAAGTGACTTGCCCAGGGTCACACAGCTAGTACATGTCAAGTGTTTTGGTCTGAGGCTGGACTTGAACTCAGGTCCTCCTGACTTCAGAGCTGGTGCTCTATCCGTTATGCCACCTAGCCTGCCCCAATTAGATTCTTAAAAGAAATTGACTGGGTTTTCAACGTCTTTTGTTATCCCAACTGAGTCGGCTCTATTACCTTTACTTACTTAAGGGCCAGATAAGGAAGTGAATTTCTTTCTTCAGGATTAGGCAGGATTGTTCAAATGGAGATAGGTATGCAGGGGGGAGTGAAAGGAGTGGGCAAGAGCAAGCAGGTAGAAAAGCACAAGAAATTAGACTGGTACCTAATAACCCTCTGGATGACATTCCGGTAACGAGGTCTATCAGCTTGAATATGGGGGTTACACAGAGCTTTCTTCAGTTCCTTTACTACATCCTCTGAGCCCAGGTACGGCATTTCTCCAGGCTATCTCTGAGGCAGTTCCTACAGTCCTTAACCTAGGCTGTGTTGAGGGACAAATCTGCAGTAGAAAAGAAATGTCTTTAGGTGACTAGACATAAATCAGCTGGGAGACTCAGGCCCTTGCTTTCCCTAAGGATTGATTGGGGCACCCTGGTTGTCAGGCTGCTAATGCTAACATCAATTATAGAATCATAAATGTTAGAGCTACAAGAGGTCTTGGAAATAATCTAGACCAACTCCCTCACCTGGCACAGAGTAGGCACTTAATAAACTCTTGTTGAATGAACTCATTTTCCAGATAAGAAAACTGCAACATAGTATTGTTAAAAATAAGTTGGAGTTGAAGACTGGGATTTAAATCCTGGCTCTGCCACTTACTATTCATGGGATCATGGAAATACAAGTTACTTTTGTGGAGTAGGCCTCAGTTTTCTCATCTGTAAAATAAGCAGTTCATTCAACAAGTATTTACTAAATGCCTACTCCGTGCCAGGTGCAGGGGATAAGAGACAAGAAATGAAGCAGTCCCTGCCCTCAAGAAGCTTACATTCTAACGAAGAAAACATGTACGTATATAACTACATGTAAAATATAGACAAAATAATTTGCATCTAAGGCCATAGGCGTGGCACTTGAGTTGACCCCTGCACTTGGACCCCTGAAGGCCTCCAAGGTTCTTTCGCCGTTCTCTGAACCTATGACTTGGCCAAGGTCTCATCCTCCAGCGAGCAAGTGCCAATCTCATCTTACAGGTGAAGAAGCAGAGAGGCCCGGGGAGGCATGGCTTGCCTCACTCACTCGGTCAGGAAAGGGCTGCAGGACCAGACCTCCCACCTAGGTTTTCCCTCCAGAGGCCCCCTCCTCCACAGTCGGCCCCCACCTTGGCCCACGACCTCCCAATCACCAGAAGTCCTCGCCCTCTCCGGCCTGAAGCCGCCTCGCGCCCCGCGTCCGGATGTTTCCGCCCGCCCTCCGGAAGTCCCGCCTCCTTCCCTTCTCGAGACCATGGAGGCGCCGCTGCCTCTGCCACTCACTAGAGCCCAGCCCCCTCCAGTCCTACTAGAACCCTCCCTTTCACCGCCCACTGCGCAGCCGAAGCCGCGGGAACCCTCAGGCTCTCCCAGCCGCCAGATCCGGCAGGGGCGGATCTTAGCGATCCGAGATCGACTAGTACGGTCTATGTTCCTGGGCCCCGCCCTGCCGCGCCGTGCCGTGCCGCGGGCGTGGTGGGGGAGGGGCGTGGGACGCCCTCCCGGAGTTTCCGCTCCCGCCCCCCGCCCGTGACGTGCGGCCACCCCTCCCCCAGTAATGGGGTCCAGTCCCGCGCGCTGGCTCCGCGTGTGACTGCCCACGATGAATGGGACCGTGATCCCGCACACGCCCATCGCCGTGGACTTGTGGAACCTGCGCCGGGCAGGCCCCGCGCGCCTCTTCTTCCTGACCCACCTGCACGCGGACCACACTGAGGGCCTGAGCAGCACCTGGGCGCGGCCCCTCTACTGCTCCCCGCTCACGGCGCGCCTCGTGCACTGCCGCCTGCAGGTAGGACGGGCGAAGCCCCAGGGCACGAGGGGAAACTGAGGCGGGGCAGGGGGAGGGCGAGGCCCCGCCCTGCTTTCTGCGAACTAGGAAAGATGCGAAAGCCAGCCCCTGCCCTCGAGGGGTTTACCCTCCTTCGGGGAGACCGTCGTCGTCCTCGTCTTCATCTTCTAACGTTTATATAGCACCTACTGGGTGCCTGCCCTGGGCTAAGTGCTGGGGATGCAGAAAGAGGCCCTGTGCGCCACTGCGCCACCTAGCGTCATCTTGTGTGGCGGCATTTCTTTGGACTCGAATCAAATCAGAATGGCACAAACGTTTGTTAAGCACCAGCTACGTGCCAGGCACCGTGTTAAACGCTGGCGATACAGAAAAAGGGAAAAACAACCCCTTCCCTCGAGGAGCTCACAGTCCAATGGGGAAGAAAACGTGCAGATAACTATGTAACACACACAGATAAGTGGAGCTGTAGCTATACACGCACATATGTGTATACACATAATACGTATCTGTATGTATATGGGATAAGTTGGAGGTAATCTCAAATCCAAGGCGCTAGCGTTAATGAGGATTGGGAAAGGCTTTTTGTAGCAGGGACTTGAAGGAAGCCAGGAGGGTCAGATGAATAGAGAAAACAATTAGAAATCTCCTCGGGCCAAGATTGGAATGAAAAGGGGAGTCACTCCCCAGTTTCACCTGTTAATCGCATCTACATCCTCCCTTGTGCAGATCTGTATGTTCTCAGTCTTAGAGTTGGGTGAGGTTAAATAACTTGCCCAGGGGAGGAAGAGTCAGTATATGTCAGAGTGGGGAAGACTTGAACCCACAGCTTCCTTAATTTGTTATTCCGGCTGCTCTGTCTAAATAATGTTGTGATGTACCGCATGTGGTAACTTTGAGGAAAGTGCCTTGTAAAATTGCACATAAATGTGAGCTATGATTTTAGGACCAGAGACCCTCAACAGGGAGGTTGAGGGCTAACTGCAGGGGATTTTGGAGCTTTTCCAGTGTCCTGAGTCTTTAACTAAAATGCATTTTAAATAGCCCAAGTTACCCTGTATCTTAGTGACTGAGTCTTAAGGGAAGGGCAGATTTAGAATTTGCAAAGAAGTTGCCAAAGGAGAGTGATTTCTGATTCCTCAATCAGCTGCTTTTCTTCTCCCTACTCAGGTGTCCAAGAAATGGATCCGGGCCCTGGAGGTTGGGGAGAGCCACATGCTGCCTTTAGATGAGATTGGACAAGAGACCATGACTGTGACCTTGATTGATGCCAACCACTGCCCGGGCTCTGTCATGTTCCTTTTTGAAGGATATTTTGGGACAATCCTATACACAGGTAGGCCTCCCATAAGAACTCTTTCTCTTTCCCTGACAGCAGGGTTTGGACAGATAGAATAACCAACAGGATACTCCAAGCCCTCAGACTGTTTTGCTTTGTCATTCAGCCAGGCCAAGGCCTGACTTGACCTTTATCTCCTTCTCTTTAGAGGTCTCAGTACATAGAAACATTAAAGGTAATGATAGGAAAAAGCTTCACAAGGAAGGCTCAACAGATTTCCCCAGTGTCAGTCCATTAGCCATGATTTCCAAGGAGACATAAACCACCAAGGATCCCTCTCCCACCAGTGAACTTTAGAAAGTTTGAGTTTCCTCCAAAACACCTGAACAAATAAATATCCATTTTCCTCTGAGGGCGTTTGAGCTTGTACACTAGATGGAGAAGGATGCTTGTCCTGATATTTCCTTGTCTCAGTGTTCTCACTACCACATGCTGTCCTTCAAGGGGACTTCCGTTATACACCGTCCATGCTGCAGGAGCCTGCCCTAAGGCTTGGGAAGCAGATCCATACCCTTTACTTGGACAATACCAACTGTGACCCTGCCCTGGTCCTCCCCTCCCGCCAGGAGGCCACCCATCAGATTGCTGAGCTTATCCGCCAGCACCCAGAGCATGATGTCAAAATCGGTGAGTGATTCCCCTTCTCTACCTTTGGCCAAATCGCTGAGATTCTTTAAAGTTTTGATTTAACTCAGCTACATGTGGATCCTACCACAAGGATATAGTCATCTTGATCATCCATATTCCACACTGGAACAAATTTTTGTTTTAGTTTCTTTCTGAGAGTCTTACTTCCCCTGCTTACTCAATTTTTTAGTGGGTGTCATCTTTTGTTTATTCTTTTTCCCAGAACAGCCTGTAGAGTATCGAGAACTGGCAGAGGAGGTTTGAGATTTCTTTCCTGCATTCAGCTCAGCTACTACTCAAAGTCTTTTAAGCAAAACCACTTAACTTCTTTATTTCTTGACATTGTCTTTTTCCGTTGCTGCTTTGAGACCTCAAATTTAGAGAATTCTTCTTAGTGGAATACAGAAAGAAGTTGAGCTGGAAGTAGGATGGGAAAATTGGACAGACTTCTGACCCTTCCTGAGCCAAGTGTCCCATGTGTGGCTTGGTTCCATTATTTTGTATGCAGCATCTCAAATGCCCTCTTAGCAAAACGTAAGTATGAACGCGCAGTCTAAGACTGTCGGGCATGTTGTTCTAGCATGACAAGGTAGGCCAAGGAGCAGTTCCTCAGGACCATACTAGACTTTGTTCTCATTTGTGACCCAAAGCCTGACAAGCAGGGTTGGCACGTGCATTGCTGGGGACTAAGTGAGAGAATGTGAATGCATCAACATGAGCAACAGCAACGCTGATGGTGAGTCAGGTGACATCTCAAGCAAAATCTTCAACTGTTGCCTCTAGAATAAAATAGCAGCTGTCATTTAGCAGAGCATTTAAAGCCCCCTCTACCCTGGCTGCAACCTACCTCTCCAGACACGTTTCGTACTCCTTCCCTCTCACATTCTGTGTTCCCCATACACTGGAAGCTGCTCCTTCAACTAGGTAGCCAAAAGAGCGCTGGCTTCTCAGGCAGGAGGCCTTAATCCAAATCTCAGATCTTATTGCTGCCTGTGTGACCTTGGGCAAGGCACTTATGGTCCCTGGGCCTCAGTTTCTTCATCTGTAAAATAAGGAGGTTGGCCTCTGAGGTCCCTGCTACTTCTAGGTTGGTAATCTTATGGTCTCCCATCTCTAAGCCTTCGCACAGTCTGTGCCTCAGGCCTGGAATGTATTGCTTTCCTCGTATATGAATATTTGAATCCCTGGCTTCTTTAAGATTCATTCTTTGGTGTCCTTTGTGATACCTTTCTTGATCCCCACCCCTGGTTGTTAGTGTTTGTTTTCCCCTCAAATTATCTTGTATTTATTTATCTGTCTGTGCTATCTTTCCCAGAAGAATGTCAGCTCCTTCAGGGCAGGAACCATTTCTTTTTTTTTTCCTCTTTTTATTGTGCTTTGCACATGGTAAGCACTTAATTGACATTTGTTATATTGAGTATCTTTCTTATATGAAGGGCAGTATATATATCATCCCAGCAAAAATTGTTCCTAAGCCAAGCTTTTGCCTTTCAGTTGCTTTAAAATTATCTCTGCCACTGTTCTGCAAGTCAAGAAGAATTTATTGGGTTCTT